CATAAAGTGTGTAGATAAGTTGCAGTATAATACTGTAAGGGTGTGTGTTGTGTTTTCTGCTATAGAAAAGAAACAAAAAGTATATTTAGTTAAACCTGAACTCCTCACAGCACAGTGAAAGCCAGCTAACAGCTAGTTAGCAGCTAACATAACGAGTCAGGCTAAATACAGTTAAAAAAGCATAAAACCGCAAATACGTTTTGGACCTGCAGAAATGTGGAAGCTACGAGTAGAGTATGGTAGTGTGATGACTGAATAACGCTGAAATGGCTTTCAGTAACGATGTAGTATGAATATGATAAAACTTACAGGGTAACTCTGTGGCTGAATGTCGAACCCTGCACATACACCAAACTGTTTACCTGTGTATACACAGGTGTGTATGTATGGAGCTATAATTGTGTAAATGTACGTGGAGAGTTGTGTAACTGTATCTCAATCTGTGTAATCCGATCTGTATTCAGATTTGCAAATGTAATGACATTTGCAAATATGTAGACAAATTTGTAAATGTGTACATAGATGTGAAAATATGTGGACGTGGCTGCTGAGGCACACAGACAAATCTCTCCACACGCATTTGCCGATCTGCCGCGACAGAAGTGAAGCCAAAATCACGTGTAAAACGACCAATAGAGAGTCCCGCCTGAGTTTTAACCGATGAATTGTCTGTACTTCCAGCTCTTGGAGCAAACACTGAGACTGCTCAGTCATTAATATGATATGATGACAGATTCGTCCACATGTTGTCAGACCTATGTACACATTCACAAATCTGATTATGCACACACGGATTGTGAACACACATTTGTAGATTCCTGTACACATTCACAAATCTCAGTACATATTTACAGATTATTTTACACATTTACAAATCGGATTAGATTAAGATACAGTTACACAACTTTTCAAACACATTTGCAAATAGTTTTGCTACAATAATAGCATGTATGTATGTATGTGTTAATTTGTCTTTGTATACCAGCTTTTGTAAGGTGCTACATAAATACATTTTACTTCCTTACTATAAAAATTGTGATTAGTGGAGTACAGTGAGACAGTCTAAAGTCCACAGTAAGTCTGCGTATGATCTCTGCAGTAAACAAGAGGTCGATCAGTTTTCTGTGAAGGGAAACACACAGAAGTTGAAATGAAAAGTGGCTGCCGGCCAGCAGCGACCTCCCCTGTGGTCGGTTCTGAGAGGAACCGGCTGCAGTCATCTGTCTGCTTTATGGGCTGAGCCCTCGACGATGAGCAGGATCCCGCTGCTGCTCAGCACAGGCTGCCCTAATAAGGCAGAGAGCTGCGTGATGTTTATCTGCCCAACGCACCAGGAGCCCGTCTGGACTAACAGCACGACAAAAGACATCTGAGACACCGAGCTGGAAATCAGCTCACACTCACCAAAGAATGGTTTGAGAAAAGATGGAAGAAAGAAACAACAACCACTTCAACCCCAAAAACTGGATAAATGGAAGAAACATGCCAGAAACCACAGTACTGATATGGTCTGTCTCTACTGTAAACAGGGATAAATCCCCTATTGCCACGGCACCAAATGACAAATAACATACTGTTTTCAAACGCTTTATTCCTTAAAGGAACCAGACAATTAACATGTTTTCATGAAATTCACCAGTTCAACATCAATTCAGTGGTTTCTTCCAGAAAGGAAAACCAGGAATTAATTTAATGGCATCCAAACAGACTTCCAGTTTGTACAAGAGCTAATTTTTAGTTTTTGTTTTCTAGGCCAATACACTACTGATTTAAATATAAACAGAAAACATTGACCTTGTTTTTGACTGTGTGATGTTACATGTGTTGAAATATATTGTCTAAATGAACTAAATGTTCAGTCTCCTTGCTGGTTGTTCTGACACATTCAGAATCATTACCACTGTTTGTTAGCAGTTAACAGGCCACTGTTATAGAGATTGTCATCATTACAGTAATGTTAGAAATGTACTTCGATTAGCCAATATAAATATCCCTCCTTGCCCTCTCTTTCTTATAATTAGGTCTTTCAAATACAAATGACAAGCCTGGACCGGACTGTACAAGTCTTTTAGGTGTTTAGATGATGTTTTAAACTGAAAATGTATTATAATGCTGACCTATTTTCCACATTTTGTCCACAAACAAAAGCAAAGAAAACACACATTTGTTTTGTGTCCACTGCAGCCCTGTTTTTGCTGTTCATCACCTCTTGTTCCATCTGTCAAATAATGTCATAACACAGCGTACATCCTCCTGCGTTTGCTGAAAGCCATATTTACCACCAGCGGGGTATCAAAATTGCACAGAGCCACTGATATGCATGACAAACACAGCCAGCTGACACCCCACCCAGCGCTGGTTAGTTCAGATTACACCACAAAAATCCCAAACCTGCAGAAATTCCCCAAAGGTTGTCCAAAGTCTAAGTGAACTGAAAAATGTCTGTTTAACCCTTTAAGATCACATCCTCAGTTATATTGTTCCCCTATTTAACAATTTACAAAAACTAAATTTTTTGTCGTCCATTCTGTAGCGATGGACAGTGGATCCATGTTTCTGAGCTTCACAGTCACCTCCCAAAAAAAGATTTTAACTAAGAGACCTCTAAATTGGAGTAACAAATAATAATAAAAAAGAGCATGTTGTGGTTTTACTGGGTTACATATCCGACTGTTTCTTGGCTGCAGTTTGAACTCATTTGGAGGAAAGACGCTGCTGCTCTTAATGAAGGTAAGTCGAAACACCCCCATCTGTCAGCTCCTGACAAATCAGATGTGACGGATGTTCGCTGCTGTTGGAGGGTGAAGCTCCATAAACACTCAGCTGGAAGCAGCAGCTCTACTGTAACCCGATTGGACTCAAATACTACGGTCCACATAAACAGCCGCAGTGTGAAGCTCCTGTCACATAGAGCAGCTATGACCCCCCCCATCTTCATATTGAACACATTGATGATCTACTGCAGTGCTTTCCAACCTTTTTCCCTATATGAACCACTTTCTGTCATTGAGTAAACTGACGACCAAGTGACATATTAATATATGTTTCATATTATTTCATATTATACTATATGAAAATATTATTTACATATTATATATTATATTCATATTATATGTAAAAAGAGCAATTCAATTACTTTTGAGCATTTCTTTGAGATCTTTTCTTAAGAATATTGCATCAGAGATGAGTTTTTCTGGTATTTTCAGAAACTTTTTTTTACAATCCTGTGTCTGGATTATGTTTTTTGTTTTGTTTTTGACAATCCTACAGACTTATTAGGCTTCCTTTTTGACAAATTCAGTATTTTCTTCTCCCTGATATCCATTGTTCTAATGCAGGACGAGGCTGTTTAGCAATAAGTTAAGGCTCTGTGAATATAGGTTGTGGTCAGGTTCTCCAAGTTTATATTTTAAATAATGATATGTACTTTAAAATTACTATTTGATTTAGTTTTACTCACAGAAATCAAGGAAATGCTAAGATATAGGCCAAAACCCTTTTTAAACCTTAAAATCAAGAAGGCCTTGGGGTCAGGTCAGATAGGAGTTTGGCCCCAGGGAGGTCAGGACCGGCTCTGGTCTTAGTACAGGAAAGGAGGTTCCAAAAGGGGCGAGAATAATCGCATTATTACGAATAAACCTGCCTCCTGTGGGAACTGTCTGCTGTTGTATGTTAATGTCAGTCACAATCGTGGTACTAGAAGAGCCTGTTATTGTCTGAGGTCTGTTCCAATACCATACCTGTATCCTATATGGAAATACTAATATTGACAAGTCAATGTAAGTGAATAATATTGTGCATCAGTGCTCTGTATCAAACTGTCCTGACTCAACCAGCTGATAACTTGATCGGGCTATATAAGGCTCTCCCAGCAGCTCATTCTGTGTAAATGTAGGCCAGCATGCTCATTAATAAACGGAAACAAAGAATGAGCAGGGCACCTTTTCCATTTCAAGACACCGTCCTCTTCCTCCACAGCCATGTTTATGCTCTGGAAATAAACGTGTTGTCATTACATTCCCGCTGCCCGCAGACATGGAAAGAGTCTCCTTGCAGCCGCTATGTGAGGCATGTAAACCTGAAGCTAGCAATCATATGACTGTGTGGAAGCGGAGCTTTTGTAACATTAGGAATTTAATAAATCCCTGTTCAATATTAACTGTCACATGGCCAAATTGCTACTGCTGGGTATTGATCCTCTTTTTTACTTAGTTAGCCAGCACAACTTTATCACATGTACGAAAACACAATTTTATGGCTTATATCACAAAGCAAACAGCACTCTGCTTTCCTTTTAATATAGACTTTAAACCATAATTTTGTGTGTGCGAATGTATTTAATTATTTTCAGTCCAACCCCAACTTGCATTAAATATTAAGAGAGTAAAAATCATTCATACCATACCAGAAAACCGATTCAAGACTCAGAGATTTGGCTACACAACCACAAACTAAATCCTGCACTAATATGGGATACAAAATGATACAACTATCCAAAAAAAAAAGGTGTGTCTCTACATTCCTATTTGGCCAACCTCCTGTTATTTGCTAGATTACAGCATTACAACAGTTAACCAATCACATCCGCTTCAATCTGTCTACAACAATCACACACTGGAAGAAACTTAGGGACCACTGTGTTCAGTTCTGTCTTATATCTTTTCACTGTAACTTGAAAACTGCAACTTTATCATAAAATATGAGACCAAGAGCAAAAGTTTCCTTTCAGGAGAAGTTTGCTATCATGCTCTCCTTAATCAAACCCCTACGTCGTCAAATACTGCAGTTTGCTTACACTGTAGATCTCCTCGGCCCCATGCCCCATGAATGTCCATTTTGTCCATCAAATTAGTATAGTCCAAAATCGTTCTTATGGGTTACTTTGATGTTAACATTAAGACTCTAATACCCCAAATTCCTTGCAGGGAAATCAAGGAACTGTGCAATGCTCTCAGCCACTCAATACTTCACCAGCAATTTGTAAAAAGATTTTTACTTACAAGATCTCATCATTCTCAAACTCCAGGACTCCATGTGTGTCCTCAAAGTCCTCGCCACCTCCTTTAGCCGTCCCTTCCATGGTTTTGTAAGGGACCACCACAACACCGCGAGCCCCCGAGGTCCGGATGACCTTCACCTCCATCACCCCAACGCTCTCACTCACGGTCACCACTGGTTCCTCGAACGTAAAGATCCCTGCGTGGTCGTCATCAAAAATGGTGACGGTAGCCGAGCACGGCAGGCCTAAACCCGCAAGGGTGTCTACATGGTTTGCCTCGTACTCATCTGAGCCACTGCCCTCTGATATGACCTTTACATTGCTGAGGTGAACCAGGAAATGCTCGTCTTCCTCAAAAATATCATCATCAATAATATCAATCCGGATTTCCTTTTCGGTCTCACCTGGTTTGAACACAATAGTTCCTTCAGTGAACTGGTAGTCAGAGCCGGCATTTGCTGTGCCGTCTTCAGTCCGGTAATCCACTGAGACTGTGCTTGTTAGGTCTCCACCACGCCGCACAATGTTCAGCGCTACACTGCCACAGTTCTCTAGACACTGGTAGAAACCAGGGTCAAAGAAAACCTTGGAGGAATAATCATTTACCATGACCTCGGAGCAAATATCATGCTGGATGGCTCTCTTGGCTTGGTCAGCGGCATGCTTCTTTAGGATGTTACCTGCTCCTGTCATGATCCTGGTCGCCTGGCAGCGGTAGAAAGCCCGACTCTTCTGTTGCTGGGTTAAAACTTGGTAATTGGCGAGCTCCATCAACTGCTCCATTTCCTTCTCAGGATGTTTCTGTTTCAGCTCCTTCAGGATCCTGGCCACCTCTCTGCGGGCCTCGTCCTCGTCCAGCTCCTTAAAATCAAACCCTGTCTCTTCTCCATGGGAATTGAGCATTTTCCCATCCATTTCAATGTCAACCTTCGAGGGAAGCTCTGGTTCTCCCTCTGTTTCGATGATCACTCCTTTCCGCTTCCCTGCTCTGTATCGTTTGTACATGTATTTGTAGAAAAGAAGTCTGCGGTCAGCCACGTAAGCCAATCCAACACAAATGGGGAAGAAGAAGAGTGTGAGCAGCCCCTCCCATATCTCAACAACACCTGGAGAAATGACGGCTAGGATCAGGTAAAGCCAGGTGTATGCAAAGACGCTCCAGGTGGCGGTGACGAAAAACACCCTGAGGTGCTTCACCTTTCTGGTCTCTCCTTCAGGAATAACAGATACACAAAGGCCAATGATGACAAACATGTTGAAGGCGGCACTTCCTACAATGGTGTTGGGGCCCAGTTCACCTGCGTTAAAGCCATGACCACAAACCTCCACAACTGACAGGAGGATTTCTGGGGCGGAGGAACCCAGCGCCATTAGGGTCAGATTGGACACTGTCTCGTTCCAGATGCGCACTGTCGTGGTGATCTTCTCACCGTTTGGTTTCTTGATGGTGATCTGTCTTTCCTGGGAGGTGATGACCTCGATGGACGCCATGAAGCGGTCAGCAATGATGGAGACACCCAAGAACATATACGCCAACCCCACAAAGTAAATGGTGGCTCTGGCAAGGCGGTCAGTGAAGACTGGGTTTTGTGGCGTCCATATTGGCAGGATAACACCTTCAATGCAGACGGTCACTCCTCCACATGTGGTGTGGTTGCTGAGTGTGTTGTTGGACTTGAGAGTTAGAGTAGAGCCTCCTGCTGCAGAATATGGAAGGTTAATTGAGATGATAGTCAACAAGAAAATAAGCTGGTAGGTGGAGAACAGTGACGAAGTCCCGGCTTCGCTCATGGTGACACTTGAGCTCCAGCAAACCTGCAAGACAGAGAAGATTGAGATGAGAGAGATTATTTCTGTGTGATCATGTTTGAAACTGGGCTTGAATGGATGTCATGTTCCCTTTTTCCACCAAGGCAATTTGACTCAAACAAGTTCCTGGTGTTTCAGCAGCCAAAGAACTGGCTTTGAGCCAGAAAAACTGGTTCCAGGTTGGCACCAACACTACAACAGGGGCTGGAGACTCCTTGTGGCCAACCACTTGTGTTTTTAGTAGCTGTTATTAGCACATGGATGTTAAGAACATAACATTGAGCTAGCTGGCTAGTCAGCTAACATTACCCAGCAAGTATAGCTACTAATTTCCAGTGTTGGGCAGTAAGTCATTACTAGTTATAAAATTACAGTAATAATATTACAGTTCCCAGTAACTAGTAGTGTAACTAATTACTAAAAAATGTCAGTAATAATATTACAGTTACTCACTTGGTGGAGCCCTTTTTATCAGTGAGCAAACTGATTTTCTGTATATTTTATATTAAATTGAACAATAACTAGAGAATAAGTGATACACTGTACAATGAACCAGAGTTTTGGATTCATTTTGAGCAGATTATTTCCTGTTTAGGGAACTTTTGATAAAATTAAACTCTTATCTATTTTTACATAACACAGACAGAGGTAAGATCCTACAAAAATCTAAAGTCCTCCTGCCCCACTTCTGGGCTTCTCCACTTTCCTACTTCCCTCAGATCGCAGAGTAAATACCGTCTGCCAGCGACTGAATCAATGTTACATATGAAGTGGTTTTAAAACAAGATGACCTTAATACTGGTTCCTATAATTCATTGTTTCTCAAAAGCAGTATTTAAAGTTCTGATTTGTTCTTGTACTGTTTAGTCCTAGACAGATTATTTTGATAATCACACATTAAATAAATCCCTTGTTCGGACTGAATCAGACCACAAAGTGTGAAAAATCAGGATGGACTCTTTGGATGGGAACTGATTTATGTATCATTCCCAATTGAAAGATAATCAATACGGTTAAGTGATCATGCAAATAAACACTACTTGAACACTGTAAGTTATATTTAATGTCCGTGCTACTAGATGATAGTTATTTTAGAACTAAATCTATTATCTTTTATAATTTACATTAATTCACACAGATTTAAATTATTATTGCATGTAGTGCTTTTTTCTTTTTTCTTTAAAATTCAACTTTGATTTATAAAAAAATATATTTTTTACTTTTTACGTTATAATTTAAAACAACGTTACAACTTAAAACAACAAACAACAACTATAATAGTATAATAATAATAGTATTATTAAACCAAACCATATGCATATATGCTAATACTATCCATTCAGTCAGTAGAAGATCAGAAACCTACCGTGACAGTTTGAGTATCTGAAGAAAAAAGTAAAAGGACGTCTTTATCCAAATCTCCACAAAAACAAGAGAAGAGTTTTCATCCTGTAGGTGAGAGACCGAAGAACCCTGTGAATACACCGTCCACTCCTCCTCCAGTAACACAATAAAAAGCCTGTCAGGTGATGTGGAGACGAGAAACAGAAACAGCACAGTCTGATAATAACACTGTCACCACTGAACGACCACACTTCGGTCTGTTGCTCTGCCTTCTTCATCTCCTCCTCCTCCTCCTCCTCCTCTCTGTCCTCTCTGAATCATCTTTGGTTAATTTTCTTTAACTTCAAACTACAGAATAACTTGTTGGGCTTCAGCCTTACAGGTTAATGTCAAGAAGAAAACATAATATGGTAGCCAGTATTTTAACAGAGACAATGTGTAAGGCATGGTGAGATTGCCTTTAATGTACCTGTGAGTGCGTAGGCTATAAAACAGCCTGGAGATACTGAAAACGCCCTCTAAAGTTAGTCGCAGGTTTCCTTTACTGGCCTGGTGTCTCCATTAGAGTCCTGGTCTGGATTGTACAGAAGTTGTTGATGTATAAAACCTCTTAAAGCTTGAACAAGATGCTTGGTTTAGGTATCCTCACAAAAAATATAAATATTTATTATAAACATATTTACTATCATTCAATTCTAAGTTTTTATTATGCTATATAATAAGCGCTCATAATTCATAATCAGAGTTATCTCGGAGCGCTCTTGTCAATTACCGAGGTTCAGGTCAGACTCGCCCGGATTCCCTAGAGTGGGATGTTGCTCCGCCGATTCGTACTATGTCTGATCCAGAGTATTGCTCGTGCGAGCTTATACGGACTACGGCGAAAATGCTGGCATCGGTACGGAAGTACTGAGTCCAGAGCACGATCCGATAACCGTATTTAACGTTATTAAATTAGTAATCTATTAACTGGTTAGCCCGTTAAGCTCTCGTCACTGCAGTGCTGTTTTAGAGACAAGGGGATCGATACGTGACACAGACCAACAGACACACACGTGTGATCAGAGCCGGTTGACGCGAGGCTTGGAGCTTAACTAGTAGCTATCATGTCGGTGGTGATGCATATTTTCACACTGAATCTCCCACCAGTAGATGCCACATGTACACGTGATGCAAGATAAATTCAAGGGGGTGGCCGAGTGTTGCTCTTTTTAATACAAGGAATTTTTTTAATGACCACCTTTGAAGACGCGTCACCTGAAGAGAACGACGAGTTTTAAACAAAGGGAAAAAGAAGGACGAGTCGCAGCAGCACTCTGGAAGCTGCTTCAGCGAGGGGAATTCAGAGACAGCCACAAAGCAAAAAGATAAAGGACAAGGTGGAAATATTGGAAGTAGTTTGATCTAGGCATATGAACCAACCCTTTGTTCCGTGTCATGCACTTTGGACGCTGCACTTTACATTTATATATTTTATGATTCGGTTCTGTTGCTCTGCTATTCTTCATTTTCTATTCTCCTCCTTCTTCATCCTCTCTGGTCCTCTCTTGGCATCAATCTTTTGGTTAATTTCTTTAATTTCAACCTACAAGGAATAACTTGTTGTGCTTCAGCTTACAGGTTTAATGTCAGAAAAAACTAATTGTGATAGCCAGTATTTAACAGAGACAATGTGTCAAAGTGCACTGGTTAGAATTGCTTTAATGTACCTGTGAGTGCGTAGGCTTATATACCCTAGGCCATTGTATAGTTTATTTCTAGGAAGATCTTCGTATATTAGAGTGTAGTATGCACGGTGTATATATTGTTATTTGGCCTGGTTCCTATATCTAGATTTTCCATGTTGTTACTGGATTTGAAAATTACAATGGAACGTGTTGAGATGGCTGTTTATCATATCTTATCACCTGTCTTTATATAAGCAATTGGCTTGTCACCTGCACAGAGATGCTTTACCTTAAAGATGTATTCTACTTATCAAAATCAATTTAAAACATGTAATACTGTCTATTGTATAATGTTCAATTTTCGATTCAGATTTATATATACATTGATTATGTGTATGCGGATCGCGTCTACTTCGGTATTATCCGAGCGGCAGAGTTTAATCTCTCCAGGAGCAAGAAAAAGTTTCAAAGTAAGAGTCGGGTATTCGGTTCTAGGAGGGAACGGAACCTGGTATTACGGGAGTTGAGCTTTTTCCGATTCTCTACGCTCACCGGAACCCCACTATTACAACCCGATTATACTTGAGATAGCCTACATACAGTTGGCGAAAATTCGCGCACATACTGGCAGCAAGTCCTGGGTGAGGCTCGCCGGGGCCGGGGACCATAGGTAATATACTCTTTTATATTAAGAGAGCTCTAAAGGATAATAAATTTCATTAACGATGGGTGCCCCGTTTCGCCCTCAATTGCGGTTGCACGTAGGCTGGTTGGAAGATGTAGGAGCGCAGAGAGAAGGAGCGAGTGAAGGCTCACAACTAGAGACACAGAGCCACACAGCACGGACATCCAGAACAACTTTACAATAGTAGATGACTGAGATGATGACATTTTGTCATATTGTATATCTTACGATTTCAACCTTTTTCACTTTATCGTGTTGTTCCGAGCGGTTTGACTGTGAAGACCCCAAATCCCTTAGAAGAGTGCTATAGCCTAAGATTAGCATGCATTTATCTCTCATTTGATTGCATTCATATGTACAACTATTATGTGTCCGGATTGGTACTGGTGTGCAATTATTCTCTCTAGGAATCTCCCTACCAGATAACGACTGTCCTAGTGTTTACGTTAGTGTGCAAAGATAAAATCTCAGGGGTGGCTAGTGTTGCTCTTTTATTACAAGCATTTCAAGTAGGATAT